ATTTTAATATTTGTTTGAAAAATACTAACTAAACATTTATTTTATTTATAATAAATAAATATTTATTCAATAAAAAAGATGATATTAAATCAAATTAATGATTTTTGTATCAAATAAATGTATGTTTACATTTAGTAAATATTTAGTACTATTTAAATAAATATGTATTAAAATGTAATATATTTTTTTTGCAGTGCAGTATTGTATTTAAAAATTAGGTAAAGTTAAAAATTTAGCCAGATGCAGATCTGAAAATAATTGTTTTAAATCATCAAAATAGTATAGAAAACTTAAACGATGAGAGCAAAATGTCAAAACTTGTTGCAATATTAGTCATCAAATTTGAATTTTCTACATAATTATGTTGATATCCAAAAAAATTATTTTCAGATCTGTATCTAAATTTTTAAATACATTAGTAAAAATATTCTTTCCATATTACGAACTTTTTGAGAAAGAATTATAACTTCTTTTTCGAAATATATAATGTTTGATTGACATGAACAAACTAACAAATTAGCACTAAGTGAAAACATTAAGTTGAAGCGATTAAGAAATAAATCTTCTTTTTATTTACTTTCTTGTGCAAACGAACGTACAATCTTTAAATAAATGATGTGTGAAATTTGGTTAGCGATAAAGCTTCGCTGCAGTTTGCGATTGATAATTATATCTCCTATTCAATCATAATTATACCTTAAATAGTAGAAGTGGGTTTTTGAATACACACTGGAACGGCTAATATCATTTTGCGCGTCTTGTCGCGACAGCGTCCGGTATGATGTAACAATTGTAGAAAGTTTCGATACCAAAAATTCAATGTGTTAGAATCGTCACCTCGTCAATAAATTATCATTTATCGCGTCTATATCTGATTGTCTCAAATTTCAGCAACCATTTATATTATCTCTTATGTATGCTTCGATGTATTCTTGGGAATTATATGAAATTAAATCACATCGTTTCGTGAACAAATATAAAAATCAGAAAAACGAAGAAAAATACATATTTGACGTTGTAAAAAATATTTATTTTTCGCAGAACGTTGTATGCGAGAAATGTTATAAATTAATCGATGTGAATGACTCTAAAAGAGGTCACCAAAAATCCAAATGGCATCACACTTCATCTGCTTATTTTACATGTCGCTGATATTGCTCATTGATTACGCGAACGTTACTGAATTTTAATTAATTTATTGCTACGTGTTTCGTAGTAAAAAGAACAATAATTTTTAATAAATTTCTATCATAGATAGGAAAAAAATGTTGTTAGAACGTAATTCATTGGAATACCCAAAATATTTTTCTTCTTAACTATTTCTTTATTTTTTAAATATAAAGTATTTTATTATGATTATGGATGCAAATATTTTTACTCTTTTTCAATAATGGCAGTATTTTCACTCCTTTAAAGTGAGTGAGATTTCACTCTAAGAAATTTAGAAAGTACAAGTGATCATCTAAATGTAGTTTGCAATTGGCCATATTAAAATATATTATACCTCTCTTATATCTCAGAAACTATTGTTTAAAATAAAAATTTACAAATAATTTTTTTATTTAATTTTTAAAATAATATTGTTTTGTTGTAATATTTTAAATCTCGAATTTTAGAACACCTTATATATACGTACATATTCTCTAATTTTTTAAATGATAGCTTAAAATTATAATAAAATTTTACTAGAATTCAATTACAATAAATAAATAAAATTTTATCCAGACTTTTAATATGAACTACAGATTGTTTGAAAACTAGTTTAACGTAATGATTCAAGACACACTTCCCTCTCACTTGCTATCATCTTTTCTTTCATTTTGATTCAATTAGAAAGCTCATAATCAGTGTCAAGTGTCAAGTTTAAGTTTTACCGTTTCAGGTTTCTCAGTCTGCGTCACGCACGAATGTGACGTTACCACGCGTGTCTACGCTTATTATATGCCTTTCAATAAGTGATATAAGTAACACGGTGTGACACAATCTTTACATCCTTGTTGTTTGCCAATGTTAAACAAAGATGACATGATCACTGTGTCGCACTGTGTCGCTTGTTGGAAGTCACGTAAATTGCAAATATGCCTCTCTCGAATTCGATCAAGTGCACTGTGCATAACTAAATGAAACAAAACGCACCGTGATCCCCTTGACCACAATGTGTGCGCATATATTTTATATACCCTTTCTGATTATGTAAAATTGAACATTAGGTATGCGTGTCGAACGTGCACTAAGTTGTGCGTGCTTTCAGAAATCGCGCGATCGCCTCGTCGCGTGAATGAATTATACTACATTTCATTGTAGGCAGATAGTACCCATTGTATCGAACGACGTGTGTTACATAATTATTAATTAAGTCGTTTGTAAGCTGTAAAACAAGCGAATGAAATAGTAAGATACGATATACAATATCGTAAAATAGAATTTAATATAAAATAGAATATAAAATTTCTAATATTTCTATTATGGATTTGTAGAATTCTCTGAATTTCTCAGACACACAAGATTTCAGGAACTTTCGTGCGGAAATTTTATACCGTAAAATCTTCTTTTCTAGACACTAGAATAACTACAGAAATGGATTAAATTAAAAAAAATTTACGTATGTACACAAAAAGAACGGTTTTGTTAAAGTATCCAAAAATTTAGCTAGATACAGATCTGAAAATAATTTTGTTGGATTATCAAAGCTTAACGCTTAAACGTTAATGACAATGCTGCAAAAAATTTTAACATTTAGCAACCTGTTTAAGCATCCTAATTATTTTGACGAGTTAAACAAATTTATTTACAGATTTCTAACTAAATTTTTAGATACTAAATTTTTAGATCTAACTTCATTTTTAAATAATTCTGCAAAATCGTCCTTTTGTGTAACTTATTTTATTATTGCTAGAAGCATTTGTTTCACTAACAATTTTTCAAATAATAGAATATAATAAAACAATTCGAAAAAAACGGAATGAATCAGGAAATTTCCAGAACTGAATCACTGTTGTTCCTTTAATATCTAACAGTAAAGCTATTCCTAGAATATCAAAACTTTTTGCAACAATTCATTAGCTTAAGTTTTCTACATAATTATTTTGATGGTCCAAACAAAATGAATTTCAAATCTGTGTCTACATATAGCTAAAATTTTAGATCATCATCTGCAATCATTTTTTCCATGTAGGAACCCCTTCAGAATGAACTTAATAACTTTCGAGTTTGAGCAACCCTCGGAAGCTGGACGCGCGGCGTCGCGTCGCGCGGTAAGCGTCGTAAAATGGTATGTCGCTGATAGGCGATAAGGAGGCGACTGTCTGATAACCCGTTTCAGCCTGAGAGATTGTGCAAGACATGCTCTACGTAACTCGTTTTCGATGTTTCTGAGAGCGCTGAACTGGTAATAGTGGCGCGACGCGCGTGATGTAACGACGCGACGACGGTGAAAAAGTCCGCGAAACGCGAGATCCGCTTCTCGAGCGTAACACGTGTCGCGAAACGCGTCGGTTCCGTCCGTGAGAACATTGCGCTGTCGCTAGATCGCGAGGTCATCGGCAAATAATTGCTCAGTTGGAAGCCGTGAAGATGACTAACGTTATGTGAGCCATGTATGGAAAAGCTGTTAAAGGGCGACGTGCCCACACACGTGCACACACGCGTGAACACGCGCGCTCGTTGCGTAAAATTGCGCGTTCGCCGCGCACTCTGGCTCGATGCACGATTCGCGAGGCTTGCTCTTTTTCCACACCCCCAGGACTGAACTTCTGGCACAGTTCATTTTTCTTCTTTTACTTTTCACACTGAAGAGAAAAGGACAAATGATGAATCATGCAAGAAGTTTAGTCCTATAGGGTACGGCAAAAGAATAGGCCTTTGATTTGTGTCTCGCCGCTCGGCGCGGAATGCGGCGACGTTCAGAATCCGCGTCTCTTCAATCAACCAACAATTAGTTAATTGTGGCTTCGACCGATATCGCACCGTTCAACGCACCCGTCATCACGAAATTGATTCATATCTTCTCTTTTCTCTTCTTCTAAGAAAATAAATTATTCAAAACTTTTGATTTTAAATATTCTTTGAAAATAGAAATATCATCTAACTCTGAAAAGAGCGAGAAAAATGATAATCTGTTTTCCTTGAATAATAATAAATGATAACAAGCATTTGACAATTAAAAAGAAATTATGTTTTAAATCAATTAAAAATAATGTATATACAAACGAAGTTGATGATTTTAGATAATATTTTTTTTTAATTATAAATTAACATTTAATTTGTAGTATATAAATATGAGTGATTTTTGTAGATTTTTTGTTGAATAGCTACAAAATATTCCAAGTTAATAAATAAATATTATTTTTAAATAATAATATAAATCAGTGTACATTTTATTTATGCATCTATTCAAAGACTGATTTTAATTAAAAGAGTTGTACGTATATTGTTTTATGAAATTTTATAAAACAATGAAACAATTTTAGTAAATGAAAAATAGAAATAAATTAACTCGCGCACATTTACTATTTAGGTCCAGTTTTACAATTCATGGTTAACTTTTAACCGAGGTTTAACTTATTTCTTATCTTTTTCCAATTCTAGAATTGAAAAGAGATAATAAATATCCTTAATATGCAATCTATTCCGAACTACGAATCTACAGAACTACGGTCTTAAATTTTTTTAAATTGACCGAAATTGAAATTTATCTACATTCCGTAAAAATAAATGTGAATGTTACATATAAAACAATTTAAGTTTAATATTTATATTTAACGATATAATTTTATAGTTTAAATGAAAACTTTCTCATTTTTATCTTAATTAGTCTTTAAAAACTTATCTACTTTTTATTGAAATAATTTTTGATTTATAATATCGCCGCCGAGAAGAGCTTGTGTATTATTATTTTTAAATACAATATAGTAATTTTTTCATAAATTTTTCATTTTGTTAAAAAAATATGTAGATAATACATTCTTAATACACGTAATCTATTCTGTCTTAAATCTTACCCTCTTTGTTTTATCAAGTGATGGGCTCAAGCAGTTCAATCTCCTCGAGGCACCCTAATAAAAAAATTTGATAGAGGACAATTGAAAACGATAGGATTTCAATTTGTATTGTTTTCTATAAACTTATATTGTTTTCTATCATCGACCTTACGAGCATCAAATTGATCGTATATGAATCCTATCGTATTTTATCGAGCTCTATAAAATTTATATAAAATTTGATTTAAATTAGTGAATTCACGAACCAGATTCCATATTCAAAACGATAGAATTTTCTATCGTTCTCTATCAACTTTTTTTACCCGGGCAGGCGAGACAAATACATGCTCTTCTTAAAACCGCTTCCGCTCTTGCGTGATTCTTCACTACTGAAGATCAACGACACACCGATGAGTCACGTGCGCGGGTGTGAATATTCTCTCTCGCGCGAGCTAAAATAGATGAACCTTAAATTTCCATTCGAAGAGTTCAGGTAAATTTTGTTGATCTCTCAAAGATTACAACTTTTCTCCTTCGCGACAGTTCTTGTGAACACGCGCGTGCTTCGAATACATGTGATTTCAGACGCGGTTGCATATGTAATTTATTTTGATTACACTTCGACTGTGTAACACGCGCATATGTTTACACTTTCTTTTCACGACTTCTCGCACGGCGAGAACCGAGGTCCATGACGAGGTGGACCGATGGACGGACAGCCGGATAAGCGGACACTCGGAACAAGCCGCCACTTCGAATTTTCTCTCGTTCCCCAGCTGGCGACTCGCGATTCGCGTGCGCGGAACGAAGCGGAGGCGTTTCTCTGGACCTCCGGCGTGATTTTTCCTCAGATATGTCGAGCCCCTCCTTGCGTTAGCCACGCTTGAACGAAAGTGCAGATCAAGAGTTTAATCGCGCGCCCCAGAAGCACGCGCCTGTCTTGTCGCGCGAGGAACGGTCCTGTTTTCGCCCCATTCGCTCTGCTGCACACGAGAAAGAAGAAAAACATAATGAAAATCGCGAAAAATGGATCGATGATTATCCGCCTCGTTCTGAATTACCTGCACGTGGATGACGTTTATAATATATGTGATTTATGCGATACTAAACAGAGAAAAACTTATCAAAAATCATGTATTGTGGAATACACAGTTTCTGATGAAATTTTTATTCTCTGTTTCCTGTTCCTTTTATTGTGCGGAGCCCCTTAGACATTTCCTAGTGGCGAACATTCCGGTTTATATGGGGACCGCGGTCTCGTAATAATGTTTCGTTCCTGGCGCCAAGTTCTCTCGAAATAGCGCGAGGCGGACTTAACTAGTTTCGCGGCTATACGCTGATCGATTTATGGGTAAACCTGAACGATTAAAATTGCATAATTAGCTTGTATAGTATAAGAGAATCCAGGGGCCCGACCTCCCCTTCTCCGAACATAAAAATAATGCTATTTTTTATTCCTGCACTAAACTGCCAGTAGAATTCTCTTTCTCGCTTTCGCTAAATATTAAATATATATATCTATCTCGCTTTAAGGTGCAAAAGTGTACATTCGTTTAGCCACAAGAAACAGATCCTGTGGAAATTAGAGACTTTATAACAGAGCAAAAAAAAGAATTTGTGAAGAGTTTATAACAGAGCAATTAGTTTTTTTTCTCTCTCCCAAAAAATCATTTCTTTATTGTGAAAAAAGATACAGATAAAAATAAATGTTTTGAAAAGAGGATAACGTGAACTTTAAGAAAAAAAAAATATTATATTGATTCATTCCAAAAAGTATAATTATTTGCGCAACTGAAGTGGAGGCATTTTTATGTATGCTTGGAAAAATAATATCAGAAGATATGTCAGATATTTTCCTCTTTTAAAAAATGCAATAAAAATATTTCATATTAAATGATTTCGATATTTACGATTTTATAAAAGTATTGCAGCGACACAATAAATAATATATATAAATTGATATAATTTATTGCTGATAATTTACTTCCGATAATTTACTGTTATTTACACGTAATAATGTAACATCGGTATTTATACATGATAGAATCATGATAAATCACGAAATCCGATTTGAGAAAGTCAAGGTGAGCGCATTAATAACATTTTTTTTCCTCCGATGAACATGCGGGGTATACATGCAAGAAATGAAAGAGCCAACGCAATCTTTTTTTTTCAGTAATAAAAATTCATAATTTCCTCTTCAATTTTCAATAAACGTCACCTAATACATTTGTCCTTTTTTGTACCATATCATATGTTTAACATATGCACGGAGTAGGGCGTGCGCGTCCTTCCTTTTTACGCTCGCACGCGGAGAGAATAGTGCGGCAGTAGCGGCAATATATATCGCATTTCACAGAATCGAAGATCGGCGTCGTCGCGAATAGACGAACATAATTTCGATAAATAATTCGCTCGATATAAATAAACGCTCGATTGCGTATATTATTGCGCGTGAACAACACTCGTAACATCAACTAATTCAATCGTAACAATATTACGTTCGTACTTTAACACGCTCTATCTATCGACGCCACGCTCTCACTTGACGCTGGAACACCACATTTGGAGTCCGATGAAAAAATATCCATTTATTGAAAATGTATCCGGAAAAGTATAATCTAAAGAAAGAATACTTTGTTACGTCTCTGTCGTAAGTTCGATCAAAATCCGTCGTATTCTTGATTTAAAATTTTTGCATTAAAAATCAATTATTTGTCTACTTAAAAACCTTCCATTATATATCTTCTCTTTCTTATACCTTTTTTTATACAATATTTAATAGCGAATTTGGTCACTTGCATTACACTAGATTAGTGCAAATTAAAAGTTGCTACACATGAAATTAGTAAAGTTAAATGTAAAAGCATATAAATATTTTAACACTAAAACTGTCGAAGGTACCAATTAATTTCCTATCCTTCTATTAGGAAAGATTTTATTTTGACATCACTTGCATTGTTAGAATTATTTGTATTATGTTCACATATTTTTTATATTCTGTATTGCGTATCTAATGCAAAAAAGAAAAAAATAATTAGCGGAGTCAAAATGTCAGCAGTTCTAGTATTAAATGATAAATACTCAATAATGATGTCACATTATTTAACAAAATATATATAGGTATTATTTCATTTCATATAATATCATATTATTTTCAATAATATGATATTTTGCATAAAATATATTATTTCATTAAAGTTAATCACATTATGCCATTTAGAGATCTTGTATAAAGTAGCCTTTAATGTGCACTAATCCAGAGTAGTACGAATTCACTATTATATTTTTTATAAAACTTCTCAAAGAAGAATATTAAAAAAGAACCGATCTTTGGCCAAAAAGATGTAAGTAAAAAAATAGTGTCTTTTTTATAAACTTTGATCTTCTGAATATGATAAAATTATTAAAAAGTTCGTAGCATTTGGAAAACATCTCGAAAATTGAGCACAAACATGATGTATTTATCCAAAGTTCAATATTCTCAATTTTCAAAGTCCAAATATTACATTGTATCCAGAGGATCAAAATATACAAAAACCACTATTTCTTTTATTTACACTTTTTTGGGGAGGTCAAAATATACAAAATATACAAAAAATACTATTTCTTTTACTTACACTTTTTTTAATAAAAATCGGCTCTTTTTTTAATGTCTTCTTTTTCTCAAGTTTAAATAAAAAGGAAATTCCAATAGAGGTGATCGAGTTCGCCACATTTATTAGATATCAATGTGGTGTTCAAGATCGGCTTTTGGTGTGTAGTGCTTGAAAATTAACACAATGATAACACATCTCAGCGATGAAATCGCACGTGCTCATAGATCATTTCGATTTCACTGATCGTTTAATCGAATCGCGAAATGTTAGGAAAAGCTTTACTCCAAAAATGTCAAAAATCTGTGTTCACTACGTAGCACTTTATACAGACATGCACTCAAGTATAAAAAAGACGTTTTTTTCAACCGTCGGTATTATTCAATATAACAGTATAAGCTAAGAAAACGTCCCTATACGGTCGTTTCAATTCTCTTCAAGTATCTATCTTATACCTCGGAAAATAAAAATTTGGAGTAACATTCTCTCTAAGATTACCGATTCAATTCGTGTTCAAAGATCAGAATGAGTCGGAATATCAATACCGAATATTATCGCGTCCGATAATATTCGATAATATCGATATTCATTGTTAAACACATATCCTCCCAGTTGCATCGCCACAATATTTCTCTGCGTGTGAGTGTGCGTGCACACGCATTGCGCGCACGTCGCACACATGCTATTGTACATCCACCGCGTAAAGTTCGTTCCGCCCACACATCGAACGTACGCGTGCAAAATGTCACGCGAGCACACGCGCATTTGTCGACGCTATTTATATAATCTAATAATATATAGTGTAACTCTCTGCGCGGGATTTTCGACACGGTGCGCGTGCACGCGTGAATACATGCGGCTTTCGCATACGCGGGGAACGCAGGTGGCCATGTGTATACATACATGCCACAGTCGCGTTTGAATGAGACTATGGAAAACGTATGCATAGCTTCTTCTTTTTCTTCTTCTTCTTCTTCTTCTCCGCACGATTATAAAACGAAACGTAAGTAACGTGCGATCATGTAAATTGTACTACGGTAATATTGTAATCGTGATAGGTGGTAATAATTAGTAATAGCAGAGCAGCGGTGGCGAATAGTGTAATAGCACTGTTGGTTTTCATTATCGATATAGCAACAATTATTCTTGTTCTTCTCTTTAATCTTTTTCAATTTTTCTTTACCAACGATCGCGCGCGATTTATAATTAATTATAATCGTTACGATGTCCTATATACACAATGCACACGATGTTACGCGTGTATTTGCCACTCAACACGATTTACAACGAGCTCCTCGATCTATATGTGTACAATGTGTACATATAGATATTTTTTTTTACATATGTAATAATGCACACATACGCATATACATTTATTGCGTGCATGTCTGTAGGCATATATTCTCTCTCAAACATTAATTACATCGATCCAATAATGATCGTCACCGCCAAATGAAATTAGTTACATACATGTAACTTTCACACACACACACACACACACACACACACACACACACACACACACACACACATACATACGAGAAACGCTTGCAAATCGCTTGCGCTTTGACGACACATCGCACGAGACACGACGGCTCAAAATTACTTTTGCATTACTTAACGTTTCCTAAGTACTATCCTGCACAGTCAGTTCCATCAAACTAAACGCTTGAATCCACTTATACAAACTAGCTGTAGCAGACAAGACGCGTTTTTTTACACATCAATAAGAATTCTCTGTTTCAGATAATCAATATATTAATTAGTCTATCTAACGATGCATTAATTATTCCTTGATGAATACATTAATTGCGCGAAGTCTCAGTGAGACTGCAGCGTGTAGAGAACTCATAACTTTGTAATTATGAGCTTTAGTTTTAGTTTAATTCTAGCGTTCGTTAGTTTAATTTCTAGAGTTCGTTAACTCTATAAATTATTTACAGTTTATGCTGTGCAACAGCGATATATTTGTTGCATGTAAATATTAATGATAATTCACATTCTTTTCTTCGCTTATATGTATATGTGTGTATATATTTATATATTTATATATATACATATACATTTGTCGCAAGTATGCAAGAAAATATCTCTCTGAAACATGAATATAATCCGAGTAGTATCTTTGGATGTGGCCAAAAATAGATTTAACTAACATGATAGGTCATTGGTGGGATTTTTTTCAATCAAGGATGGTCAATCGTATGTTGATTAGAAAAAAACATCGTTGTTTCGTACACGAGTTATTTTCGCAAAATATGTTACAGTTAATAGAGTGCACAAATAAATTCATCTATACATTCTTAAGCGTCATGATTAAAACGAGCATCCAATCAGCGATACCTTGACCAATCCTTGTATGCTTGCGTACTATATAATTATCGAATTATACAGTATTTCTTATAATGCAGATTATATAATAATTTATACAAGATTACTCGATATGCAAGAGCATTTTTTAA